TTCCAGACCAAATCCCCTTCTGCAAAAACTTTAGGGAATACTCTTTTTCCATAGTATTTCGCCCTAATTTCACTCTGTCTAACCACTTGATCCAAAGCGTTTAATCGATCTGTATCCAATTCTTCCAATTGCTGCCACATTCTTTGTGCATATGCTTCGTCAATAATCGATGTTGTATTAGTCACTCTAGGTGAGGGTACCACAAATTCCGCAGGTAAAACAACTTCTTGCCCGAACATTAACTAGTATGGGAAAAATCCAGTAGAAGTATTTATACTATTTCGATGGGCCCACAGTGCCTGAGACAACAATGTGTGCCATTTCCTTGGATTTTCTTCCACTATTTTCCGGATGATGCCAATAACGATTTTATTTGCCGCTTCGGCCAACCCATTCGCCTGTGGGTAGTATGGTGAAGAGTGTTGCAACTTGATGTTGAATTCGGCCAAAAACTCAACGAATTTTTCCCCAGTGAACATCAACCCTTGATCGGTTGTAAGCGTGTGCAGAATCCCAAACCGATACACGATGTGATTAAGCACGAACTCGATCACCTCTTTCTGCGTCGCATTCTTCAAGTGAACTGCTTCTACCCATTTGGTGAAGTAGTCAGTCGCTACCAGAATGAATGAATGTTGCTTTGACGAGGTCGGATGAATTTTCCCAATTACATCCAATGCCCAGGCTTTGAATGGCCAAGGCTTAACCATCATCTGCAATTCTACTGTTGGCAGATGATTTAATGGACCATGCCTCTGGCATTCCTGGCACCCCTTGGCAAATCTGATACAATCATAAAAAATCTTTGGCCAATAGAATCCCATACGATGGATAGCCCATCGCATATTTAAACCTGCCCGATGCGCATCACATATTCCACCATGGACCTCCTCTATTACTTTAATGGATTCCTCAGGCCCCAGACACCTCAATAAAACTCCTTCAAAGGTTCTTTTATACAGAACCCCTTCAATAAGCTGGAAGCGTAAGGCTTTCAACCGAATGCCCACATGAGTCGCAGAACTTGGTGATTCCAAATACACCATAATTTCTGTTCTCCAATCAATCCCGGAGTCGGTGCTACCGATCATTTGCTGGCAGGCATTCTGAGCCAATATCAGCCAACCGATTCTCTGTTATTGGTACATGCTCAAAAACTACCTCCGTGATTCTGTATAACAGATGGAATACCAAATCTCGGTATCGACGCAGATGAGGATAATTACAAGCGTACCGTTTTAATACTTGGTTAATGACAAGTTGAAAGTCTCCGCAAATTAGGACCGATTGAACTCCTTTAGCGATAAGCGCTTCCAAACCCAAAATCAGTGCTTCGTATTCTGCCGAGTTATGAGTCATCTCTTCCATTTGAAGCTGCAAACTAATTCTACTGGCTCCTGGTCCTTCTAGTATTACTCATGCTCCTGACTTTCCTTTTGCACGAGAACCATCAAAAAACATTTTCCAAGGACTGGTGCCTATATATGGCACTACTTTGTTTTCTAATGATTCATCGTCTGCAAATTCAGCCAATAAATCGGCTACAACTTGCCCTTTCACCGCTTTGATAGGTCGATATCGCAATGCGAAAGGAGCTAACTTGATTGCCCATTTCATTAATCTTCCCTGCATGGTTGGTCTGTGCAGAATTAATCTGATCAAATCCATTTTAGAAACCACCTCGGTTTCTCTTAGCAAAATATAATGCTCCAACCGAGTACCCGCAAAGACTAAAGAATAGCACATTTTTTCGGGTATACTATAATTCAACTCTGGTCCTGCCAAAGTTTTGCTTAAATAATAAATGACTCTTTCCTTATCATCTTCCCATTCTTGCACCAACAGACTACTCACAACATCAAAGTTGTTCGCAACATACAACCGAAGGGGTCGGTCTCCTCTTGGGGAAACCAACACAGGTGGTTTAATTAATACCTCATTGATTTCTTCTAACGCCTTCTGCTGCTCCTGACCCCAAGAAAAATCAGCCGCTCTATTCCGCAGCAACTTTGTGATAGGTTTTAACTTCCCTGCAGCATTTGATATAAAACGCCTTAGGTAATTTACCTTTTCCAACAAACTTTGTACTTCTTTGACCGACCGAGGTGACCGCATTGTCAGAACAGCCTTGGCTTTGTTCGCATCAATTTCTATCCCTTTTTGATGTACTAAAAACCCTAGGAAATTCCCTGCCGAAACTCCAAAGGCACATTTCGTGGGGTTCATTTTCAGGTTGTACTGCTTCATCCGTAGAAAAATATTTTTTAAATCAACCAGATGTGTGTCAAAGTCGGTAGACTTAATGATTACATCGTCAATGTATACCTCCATTGACTGGCCGATAAGATCATGAAAGATGGTATTCATTGCCCGTTGGTAAGTTACTCCAGCATTCTTTAAACCGAATGGGATGACTGTCCACTCGTAGATCCTTAAAGCTCCTGGGCATCTGAACGCGATTTTGGGTATATCTTTTTCTGCTAATGAAATTTGATTATACCCTGCATATCCATCCATCAAACTTAAAATTCGATGCTCTGCTGCCGAGTCGATCAACATGTCTGCTATGGGCATGACATATTCATCTTTTGGAGTGGTGAGATTGAGATCTCTAAAATTAATGCAGATTCGAATCTTTCTATTTTTCTTGGTTACCGGAACAATATTGGCTAACCATTCTGCATATCAACATGGTCGAATGAATCCAACCTTCAACAGCTTCTCAATTTCTTCTTTGATCTGGGGCATCAATTCTGGATTTACTCTCCTTGGTGGTTGCTTATAGGGTTTAAACCCTTTCTTAATAGGCAACCTATGTTCTATCAAATTGCGCGCCAATCTGGGCATTTTGGAGTAATCCCATGCCAGACATTCCTTATGATCCCGAATTAACGCTACCAATTGCTCCTGTTGGTTTTTTGACAATAAACCACTTACCCTGACCATCTTGGGTATCTGTTCAGTTCCTACATTATACTCAATGAGAGGATCTTAACTTGACAAAGAAGTTTCTGTCTTTTCCAAGAGATCAAGCCAACGAAAACCTTCCCCCTCTCCAACACTATTGTTGGAGCCTTCATTATTATGTAACCTAACCATTAATTGGTTTAAATAAAACTGCCTAATCAGCTTATCACATTTATTTATTTCTTCCATAATTAAACTTAAATAAATAAAAAGTTTATTTTGGCTAACGACAGAGCCATAATACAGAAGATTGTTTCTAATGAAACACATAACCCTGTGCAGTGCATCTACAGCCTTTCCAGGGATACTCGTTTACCACAGTTGTTCGTGAAATCGGTGGAACATACTCTGAATAAAGAACCGATTCCTCCACACCTTCTGTAGAACCGAAAGGATTGGTACTGGCTTCCATCGTGAATACCTGGTCTCCTTCCCAAAACATGATCTGTTGATGAAGAGAAGAAGGCACGCATTTGGAAGCGTGAATCCCGTCTTGCCCCAAAAAAACCGAATAAGTAGTGTTGGCATCTACCACGAAGAATACTGTTGAAATCACCTTTGGTCCGACCTCAATGGGTACCACCATCATCCCTTCTGGTTTGGTTGGTTGTACCGTGAAACTTTTCATCTCAATATCTTCTGGAGACAGGTCGCCAATCCCTTTGCCCAATTTTCTCAAGGTTTTAAGAGGCATGACGTTGAAAACGGCCCCATTATCAATGAAAACCTTGTTAATTGGCTTACCACATATGTGAGCGTTAACATACAGTGGTTTTAGGTGCGGGATTGCTCATTCTGGTATAGGCGGAAAAACCATAGGTGGGGGTCTGCCAGTCATCGCCGCCCATTCTGGTTCTTCTTCTTCTTCAAATTTTGCCCATATAGGCTCTTTTTCTACGTCGTCGAACCATCGCATATCTGTCATCCTGACTTCGAACCCGGATTTATCAATCTTCACTATCTTGCTGCGCAGAACCTTCATTTCTTCTGGAGCAAAGGACCCGAAGACTATCTCAGGAGTCTCTTCTTCAGCATCTTCTACTTCAGGATCAATGTTGATCCGTCTGCAGAACTGACACCGAAAACACTTGGCCTTCTTGATAGGCTTTTCGGTCTGCTAGTGCTCCTGTAGTCGGTTGCTCGAGCTTTTCCTTTTGGGTGACGACTCCTTCTTCTCCTTCCCTTTATCTACTCGCTTTCCATGCCGAACCGCATACCTGCGATTAGCATTATGAATTTGTGTGCGATTCATACCTGGAAATCGGGGATCTATGTCGATTGGCAGAGGCTTTCTGTTTCGGCTCCATCTGTCATGGACTGGCTGTGGTTTGCGCGTTGGTTGGTCCCGAACCACAGCTTTATCCTTCAACTCCACTTCGAAGGACCCATCGTCTTTATCCCATTTCTCCGCCACTCTGGTTTCGCAAACTTTGAACTTGTCTTCCCGATCATGTTCCCGCTCTTTGGGCTTGCGCTATTTTCGCTTGGTATTTTCTCATCACTTTGCATATCTTGTGAAGAACGCAGGGAGATCACAGCAGTAGTCACTTTTGGGAACGGCTGGTGTTCCACTCCCATTGTTACATACTTGAATCTCCCTGCTTTGATAGCCTTCTGTATTTCCTTTCGGAAATGTGTACATTGATTAGTGTAATGCGTAAAAGAATTATGCCACTTACAGTATGGCCTCCCTTTTATTTCTTCCTTCGTTGCTAAACGCTGCCCTTTGGGGATGCGCATTTGCCCGTCTGCTAACAGAATATCGAAAATTTTGTCTGCCTTAGACGCATCAAAGGTCGGTTGTTCCATCTCTTCTGTCCCCGGAAGGGGCTTTAGTTTGGAACACACATATGGCTTGCCGCTCACAATTTCAACCGCCATTTCTTCAATGATGTTTCCCTGCTCATCATCTGGCGCATACATTTCTGTATCGACACTGGCCATCTGTTGGACCCTGTTCCATCGGAAATTATGATTTTTTCTCTAAAAAGATATTCTAATCTTCTTGCTTTGGAAGCCAGACTGGCCAAATCCTAAACATCATGAGCTGTCAACACCTCCCGAAGTCTGGTATGCATATTCCTGACCACTAAATTGGTCATCTCACTTTCTTCAATGATTGTCGGGCACCGTCCCTTCATGAGGCGTATCCGCTCTATAAATTGATATGCAGTCTCTTCTAGCATCTGCCGGATCTCCAAGAAATCTGTGAGCGAGACCGTCGGGAGCGGATTAAAGAATCTTGCATGGAATGCGGCCTCCAGGCATTCCCAAGTTTGCAACAGTCCTGGCGGCATATTCGCGAACCAAGAAAAAACGGTTCTGGTGAGCGATAATCCAAACAATTGTAATTTGTAAAACGAATTATTGCCTACTTCCCCCAATTGAGCCGTGAAGCGTCCCACGTGCTCAATGGTTGAAGCTCCATCTTCTACTGAAAACGAGTGAAAGTCGGGTGGTCTATAATTCCTCGGAAGGGGGTGCTCATTGATGATTCTTTCTGGGAATGACCTCTGATATGCCGGTCTGTTGACCGTCTGAGGATTCATTCCAAAATGCACTCTCAAGACTTGAGCAATGTCTTCCGGAGCTACCATTGGCGGAACAGGATCAAATACAGGAATGGGATTGTGAGCCTGTCCCCCTAATCTGTCTTCTCTGGGGTCGGTTGATTCGACCCTAACACCCAGTGGAACATTAATTGGGTATGTGAGAGGAGTCTTTCCCATATCAACCCTAGTAGCAGTAGCACTTGGAAAAGTGCTATCCACGTAAGAGGGCCCCGCAAAATTTGCCTGTAATCTGGATGGTGATGACTCTGGCGGTGTCTGGGTGGGTTGCAGAGTAACCCTTGATAATGCCTGATTTAGCATATTTTGCATAAGGTTTTGTTGCTCCCGCAACATTTGTTGCTCACGCAACATGTTTTGCATAGCTTGATTATGCTGATTGTTCAATTGATGAACATAGGACACCCAATCAGTAGGTGTTTGAAGCGTTTCCCCTGCATTTGGCATGACATGGGGTGAAATAGTTTCTCCCATTGGTGCTGAAGATGCTTGAGGCTGTGAGCCCTGCCATATGGATCCTTCCGATGATTCGGCCGGACCTCAATCGTATGAAGTTCTCTGTTGACGTAGGATCAACAATCTTGCCTATCTCCCACTGTGGTCGCCAAATTTTTGATGTATTTTCTCAACAATTAGAAAGTAAAATCCGAAAATAGGAAATTATCTTCGAATTTGATATAATTAGTGCCTGAGATTAGGAATCTCTAAACACTGTAGGATACATAAATAAAATAGAAAAATAAAACTACATACTGGAAAATAAAGTGGTGATCCCCAAAAGCAATTCTTTTGAATTTGATGTCAATTGAAGATGGTTTCTTAGGTCAGGAACAGACCTATTTAAAACCCTTTAAAGAAACGGTCTGAACCGCCGTCTGGTCGGTTACAGCAACCGCTGTCAACCGCCCCGAAAGATCTCTTCTGTCGACACGTGTGCTAACCGACTTACCAAGTCATGCCTTCAAACCCGCTCATAAGTTAAAATTTCCCTCAACTGTCCAGGAACTGCTCTTTCGCCCGACCAATACATCTACTGCTTCCTTGCCCGACCTGATCACGTCCAACCTCAGCGCCCGACCTTATCACGCCCGACCTTATCCTGCCTCATCTCCGTGCTAGACCTTATCATGCCCGACCTTCGCACTCGACCTGATTACATCCGACCTCAGTGTCCGACCTTATCGCACCCAACCTTTGCGCTTAACCTGACCATGTCCGACTTCAGTGCCCGACCTTATTACGCCCGACCTTTGAGCCCGACCTGATTATGTCCGACTGCAGTACCCGACCTTATTACGCCCGACTTTTGAGCCCGACGTGATTACATCCGACTTCAGTTCCCGACCTTATTCCGCCCGGCCTTTGCACCCGACCTTGTTACACCTGAGCTCCGTGCCCGACCTGATCACACCCGTTCTTTGCACCCGACCTTGTTACACTTGAGCTCCGTGTCCGACCCGGTCGCACCCGATCTTTGCACCCGACCTTGTTACACCTAAGCTCCGTGCCCGACCTGATTGCACCTGATCTTTACACCCGACCTTGTTACACTTGAACTCCATGTCCGACCTGGTCGCACCCGATCTTCACACCCGACCTTGTCTCCTGACCTGCCTTTTCCCGAGGAAGCTTCTTCGTTACAACGTTATACTTGGATTTTTGAAAGCCCATTAAACTCAAATAAACCTTAACCTAATTTGGTAGGCTCATTTTCGAAAACCTTACCTATCTTTTTTTTTATGGTCAACAATAATGTTCAAGTGCGATGATCATGGATTATTTGTCTTGAGTTAATAAGGTTGATTGATTGCTTGCATAGATTTGCTACTCATTGATTATGTTCGAGGTATTGACACTCTGAAATTGCAATTTAATGTCCGGTTATAAGTGCATTATGTGATAGATGATTCAATGGTTTGTTAGTTGTTTGATTTGTTCTATTTTGGAATACTCTGCATTGGTTGAACTCACTTTGTTGAGACCTAAGATTGAATTTCAATGACTTTTTGCCACACAAATTGATTACTTGTTGATTATTTGCTTTATCGTGGTTTAATTCAATTGATTGGATCCAAGTACCGTGATGCTCCTTGATACTTACTGGTTGTGGATATTAGGCAGTCGATTTGGTTTGGTTGTCGAGATTTGGTAGGAATCCAAGCACTCACTTCTTTGGGATAAATGTTGTTTTGGGGTGGTAGGATTGACATGATAGAATTACAAACTAGGCATTCTTTGCTTCCTTTTAGGATACTTTGTTGTGTTTGGTGAGTTTGTTTTTGCAGGATTCGTGAGAATTTTCAGTCCCCTAAAGGTGATTAATGCACCATCGACTCACAAGGCGTTTGCGAGCAAGTAAGGAACACAATATCGCACCCCCCTACGGACTCCAGGGAAGTCCTTCTATTCTTTTATTGCTTTCTTTACATTGAGGACAGTGTATACTTTAGGTGTGGGGAGAGTTATGCAAATTTTTGGGCAAAAGTTTCATTTTTTTGCTAAATTTTATGTCTGATTTGCTGTCTTTTTGCATATTTTTTAGATTAGTCTAAAGTGAGTCAAATGTGATTTGTGTGATAGGTTAGTTTGGCATGACTAATGACATTTAATTGGTGATATGTTGAGTCAAGTCGACATTTGAACCCTGTGAGAATTTGAGCCTATGTTCCAAAAGTTACATTAGAAAATAAATTCCATATATTCAAACTTTTGGAAATTTCTTTCATGTGTGATTTATAGTGCTTAATTAGACGATCTAGAACTTGAGTGATTATGCATGTTGAACTTGCAACTATCGAGTGTTGCATTTTGAAAATGATAAGGACATTAGGTAACCCCATTAAGCCTTTCTTTATTACCCAGCATAATATATTCCCCTAGTTAGGCCATTTGAGCCTTCTTAGCCTATTTTTTCTTTTATAATAACCTGTATTTTAGCCTCGTACCCTTCTTTTGATTAAGTCTTCTCCGTCCATGTTGTGATGTACTTTATTTATTCGGCACTAGTTTGAAACGAAATTTGGGTACGAATAAGTTATAGTATGAAGGAATAATTATGGGTAGTGAAAGTATATATATATATATAAAGAAAATATCAAAAAAAAAAAAAATAACAGAAAAGAAAAGAAAAGAAAAATAAACAAAAAAAAACAATAAAATAATCATCTTGAAGTATTTTCATTTAATTTCATTATTAAAGTTTGGACAGTGAATAGAGTAATGATTTCATTGTTTATGCCGATTTGTTTTTCATATGCTAGCATAGTGTTCTTATTGTGTTCTTTTCTGACATTCTTAGCTGTTGTTTATCCTTGTTTTCCTACCCCTGACCATAAGCCCCGCATGCGTTAAATGTTCATATCATATGCGATATTTGATTGATTTTGATTGAATTCTACCTAATTTATGTGCGTATTGTTTATTTCCGACATGTAGGAAAGAAAAGACAAATTTGGTGAATTTGGAGAAAAATAAAAGAAAAAAATCAGCATTGGACAATCAAGTTAGTCATGATCATGACTAACTACACCCTATTGACATGAGAATTTAATTAAAGACCCAAAAGCCCAGCTACATAATAATTAGTACAAAAATTAAATAAAAAGAGGTGAAGACACGCAGAAGAGAGGAGATAACAGCCAGAACAGATACGCACAAGAGTAGAAGACTGACAGACTCATAGATCGCGCAGGAGCAAATCGACAGAGAAGATTCCCCCCCCCCCATTGTGACTTTATCTTTTGTTCTTTGTTATTTGATTATGGAGTAGATACTTTTCTGGTTTGAGGGGTGATAATATTTTGGTTCTTTTTTTTTTGGAAATTCTTGAATTTCTTTATAAAAGTTCTTTTTAATTATCAATATTTGTCTAATTCTGATAATAACGTTTGTGATTGTTAGATTGATTGAATATTTTGGTACCGATATTTGAATTAGTCTGATAATCTAAAGTCAATTCAGGTAGGATATCTGTAATTGTATTCGCACTTGAATAGGTGACAACCGGGTTAAATAGTTTCTTTCCGGGGGTTAGACAATCAAATCTAATTGCTCCTCTTAGGTAGTAATTGTTTTGAATTGAGTTTTTTTAGATTAGAATGCGATTAGACAATATTTCTTATGGGCGCACCTAGATTTATTTTCTTAATTAGGGGGTAGTTAACGGTCATACCTTAATTACCTACACTGTAAGGAAAAATTGGTTGTCAGAGCTTGTTGATAACTATAACCAATTTATTGATACTTTAATAAGAACTAACTTTATTGAATCAATGATAAAATACAAGTGCCATAACTGCATGATCCCTTGAGTCAGACATCTCCTTAATAGCTAGTTCTCCCTTAATTTAATTTTTTTTTTGTTTTATTTTCATTAGATAATAAAAGAAAACTCCCCCTTTTTATTTACTGCATTAAAACGCGAAAGAGTAAATCAAACAATCCCTGTAGAGACGATCCATTCCCCTGTATTACATTAAATTGTGATCACGGAATAGGTGAAATATTTGATTGACCGTGCGACAGGTTAGTCCCACTATGAATTTCTTGGTACTAGCATCCTCGATTATGTACTTTTTCTCCAGTGTCTCCCACAACTGCTTAGGCGTTAGCGCATGCCGATAGACATTGTATAGGGAGTCACTCAAGCCGTTCAGTACATAATTTTTGCACATAAAATTTGAGCGTTTCCAGGCTTTCAGGATTTGTGCTTTCTGTTCTTCCGAGGATCCTTCAGGCACAACCGGTGCATCTTCCATCAACCACTCTTTCAAATTCAACATGGTCAGATAAAATAACATCTTTTGCTGCCATGTTTCAAAATTCTGCCTGTTGAATTTTTTTGATTTTTCGATTGCCGCAACAACAGGCTGCCTGAAGGTTGCAGCAACAGGCTGCATTACGTGGTCCGCAACAACAATAGGCCATATACCCTCCAAGTCGTGTAGTTGTTGTCCAGCAGATGCAATGAGACCCTGCGCAAGTCCTGCAGCCATATGTTGCCGATGAGGCAGAACAACAACAGACTGTCTCACACGGGTATTAATAGGATCCAGTTTTTTCCTCCCAACAATAAGCTGGTTTGAGGTCGTAGCAACAGGCTGCGCTTCCTCCATGGCGGCCTTGAAGGCCTGTTCGTATGCTGCCTGCGCAACCTTCTCGGTAACAACCCTCTTGGTCCCCTCACGCGCCTCACGTCTGGCAGCAGCGGGTTCCGCAGCCTCACCGGTTGCGCGGGGTGGATAAGATCGTGGAACAGAGAGAACAAGAGTGTGAGACTCGCTGGAGTTAACCTCCTCGTTTGCTCCAATTTGAACATCGTCGTTCAGATTTCTATCGCCTTCATCGCGCATAGCGTCGATCATTCCTACATCATCAAGTACGTTCTAGGCAGCCGTGATTTAATCTTGGATCTCGGGAATTTCGTCAACGATCTCAGATTTTTGAATTCGCTTCAAGATTGTTGACAGAAAAATAGATTTGTTAGCAGATATGAGAAGTGACAAAATTCAAAAGAAAACCAAAAAAAATCTTATAACAAAATTGAATATCAGATTTAAATCAGATCGGAGCCTCGCGTAAACGCGATTTTTTTAAAGCAAATTATAGAACGGTAAATGCTGATCTGCGATAACGATCCGCGACGGCGAATCATGGGAAACAAAGAAGAGGAACTCTGCACCATATGTTTTCCAGCACCGAATTCCAGCCGCAGTGCGATAGAAATCCGCCGATGGCCGGATGGGAAATCACCTTAGTCTGCCTGCACCACTGCACGATTAGCCCTCTCCCATTAATGCTCTCCTCGAACCCCTCAGGCAAGATGTTGGTCTCGTCGGAGCTCACGATGTCCAGCCGAATTACCCACGCGAAATTGACGCCACTCATTTGCAGCCCGTAGGCCATCTCGAGGATGTCCTGCTTGCTGGAGGTGTGGGCGTGGCTGCCGATCGACACGTAGAGCACATAGCGTTTGGGCTTTGTGTTTAGCCATTCGGTGAAGTGGGACCAACCAATTTTTTTTTAAAAAATTATTATTATTATTTTTAAAATATTTTTTTATATTATATTTCTTTTGTTAATTTTGTTGTGTATTATTAAAAAACAATTTCTCTACAAAATAATTTGTATAATTAATTGGTCGGATGAGAAAGAGAGAAAGAAATCTAATCAATTATATAAATATACTTTTTTGAAACAAAAAGAAAATCGCTAACCGAATTGATCGGATGGAAAGAGAAAAAAAAATAGAATAAATTATATAAATAAATTTTTGTAGAACAGTGCAACCAATTAATTTTAAAAAATATATTTATTTTTCTTTCAAAATATTTTGGTATATTATATTTTTTATACTTTATTTTTTCTGAATTATTAAAAAAATTTATTGTACAAAATGTATATATTGATATATTTTAAATTTCTAATTAAATTTTTAAAATTTCATTGTACGAATATGAATATATAAATTTAAATAAATAATGAATATAAATATAGATATTTTGAAATAAAAATGAAGTGGTTGACTAAATTGGTTTTTTGTTTTGCGTATCCAACAAACTCGAAAGTCCCTGCATTAGTTTCGAGAAGCTGTGCGGATGGCTACCTGTTATTACGTAAATGTCCTTAATAGTGTAATATTTATTATTTTGAGCAGTTGTACGAAGTGGTAATAATATAGGCAAGTATGATTAAATTTGTCTACTAATACCCGCATTGTCACTTATACTGAGCATATTGAGTGTTGTTGAGGTTGTATTTTCCAATTCCATTTGTTATTTTGTAGTGATTTACTTGTAAAAAATATATTGATATGGATATACTTTTGTAGATCGTAACATTTACTTTATTAAAATAACTTAGTTACAATATTTTAATACTATGATATATTAAGAAATGCATTTGGAACTAATATAGGGGTTTTCTAGTTTGTTGGGCAGACAAAACAAAAATTATTTGAGTCCGAGTAGACGGCTGATCAATATATATCATTTGTACATGAATTAAATATTTAATTTAACTAAAATTAAATATTAAATAATACATAAATAATGTCTAAAAATATAATTCAAAAAACATATTAATTCATTTAATTTATACACAAAAATAATTACAAAATATACTTAAAAATTAATAACTTAGTAGTGCATGAATTATTGCGAGCAGCTGGGAGAAAACAGAATTAATGGGAGCAACTGGGAGTTGGGGGAGTCTGGCGGATTAAATGCAGCCGACCAGCCGTCGCTTGAATTCCGCACAGTAGCCGACTACGCTTACCTCTATGAAAAAGTTTCCCCGCTGAGTAAATGTAGCCGATCAGCTATAAATGCTTTCGCTGGTTTCTGTGCAAAATTAATACGACCGTCATTCAATTAATAATCATCGTACACAGATTTTTGTACTAATTAATACAAAACTGACATTTATTAAAAATTACGCAATAAATATTTAATAGAATAAAATATATTATTTATTTAAAAATATTTATTACGCCATCATTAAATATTTAAATTAGATTTTCTTATAATATTTAATTTAGCTAAAATTAAATATTTAAATAACACATGAATAATGCATAAAAATATAATTCTAAAAACACATCAATTAATTTAATTTATACACCAAAGTAATTATAAAATATAAACTTAAAAATTAATAACTTAATAGTGTAGGAATTAATTTGAACAGTTGGGAGAAAACAAAGAGTAAATGCAGGCTGACCGGCAGGAACTGGGGGAGTTTGACGTTAGCTACCAGCCGTCGCTTGAATTTCGCACAGCAGCCGACCAACCGTCGCTTAAATTTCGCAAAGCAGCCGACTTCGCTTACTTCTATGCAGAAGTTTCCGCCCTGAATAAATGCAATCGACCATCTATAAATGCTTACGCTGATTTATGTTAAGAATTAATACAACCGTTATTCAATTAATAATAATTGTACACAGATTTTTGCACTAATTAATACAAAATTGACATTTATTAAAAATTACACAACAAATATTTAATACAATAAAATATATTATTTATTTAAATATATTTATTACACCAACATTAAATATTTAAATTATATTTCTTTATAATATTTAATTTAGTTAAAATTAAATATTTAAATAAAACATAAAGAATGCATAAAAATATAATTTAAGAAACACATCAATTAATTTAATTTATACAACATAATAATTATAAAATATACTTAAAAATTAATAAATTAATATTTTACACACAAAATACAATAAATACAATTATTGAATTAAATTAATATAAATTATACCAAAACTCGATATAAATAAATAATTAATTTAATAAAAATAAGCTATAAAATATGTCAAAATCAAGAGTTATCACTAACCGACTTTCTCCTGGACGGCTGTCTCCAATCCTTCCCATGTGAGGCCAACCGACTCCCCCAGTGTTGGCTCTTTAAAATATATTTATATAATTCATTTTCTTTCTTTCTCTTATCATTCCATCCGAGGTTTCCCACTTCTTTCATTATTTTACATAATGTTTTTAAAATTAGTTGGTTGCACAGTTATAAAAAAATTATTTATATAATTCATTCTCTTTATTTCTCTCTTTTTTCCATCCCACCAATTCGGTCGGTCACTTTTTTTTTTTATTTCAAAATATCTATATTTATAGTATTTATTTATTTAAATTTATATATTCATATGATATAATTTTTAAAATTTTATTAGAAATTTAAAATATATTAATATATATCATTTTATAGAGAGTAATTTAATTCATACAATAAATTAACATCAAGAAAAATAAATCACAAACATTCTATCAGAACAAAAAAGCGACGTAGCCGTGCATATACGATCACTAGTATATATATATATATATAATTTTTTTTTTCAACGTGGGTTGATGAGAATTATTGATAATGATGGTGGAATTCGATGTCACGGTGGGTTTGACTTCTTGGGTCACCTTTTGACTATTGGAGGGTCCAAATTATGAGTGTTCTTATATAATATATATGTACATATTATTTTATCTTAAAATAATTATATTATACTTTCCATATTTTATATAATTTGTTTAATATTTCTATTTTCTTGATCAATTGTACAATTAATTAAATAATTCACCTTTACCTGCAATCAAAAAATTAATATATAATTTGTGTGATAATAATTTGTTTGTGTTAAAAAAAAAAAAAGTTTAAATTAAAATTAATATAATCGTTAAAAAATAAATTTTAAAAATTAAAGAAACTATAATTCAATAAAGAAAGGAACTTATATAATATAAGATCTAGTCTAAGAAATGATTTTAGTATAGAAGTTGCAATGAGTCATTGATTTAACTCGAGATAATTCTCATTATTATTGGTAAATTAGTTATAAACATTAACAAGGTCTAATATCCAATATTTTTTACTTGTATAAATTTTTAAAAAATTAAAGAAACTAAAATTCAATCAAGAAAGGAACTTATATATAAGATCTAGTTCAAAAAATGATTTAGTATGGATGTTGCATTGGGTCATTGATTTAACTAAAGATAATTCCCATTATTATTGATAAACTAGTTATAGGCATTAACAAACTCTCGTATTCAATTTTTTTTTTTTTTTTTTTTAATATGTAGACAATGAAGGTACACCTGGTGATTGTGGTTAATTAGAATAATAATCTTAGGTATGACCGTAGAAATTTAATTGTCTAATTATATTATGATCTAAAAAAACTAGTTCAAATTACTACTACATGCACGAAGCAGTTAGAATTTGATTGTATACTCAACGGGATATAACTATTCAACCCATGAGGATGGAGTCATGACCGTGAAGTCATGGGTTTAAACCTAACGCCTTCAGGTCTTATCTACGATATATGGTTTGACTAGTGTGACTTGCCTTGTCGGGCCTAGTTTGCAGGCTATTAGGTTTGGCCGGAGGGTTTACCCAGAATGCACTCGTCGAGTAGCGGCTTCAGATTTTCACGGTATAAACAAATATAATAAAATGAAAGTACAATTATGTTATCAAAAGATATAAAAGTACAATCACAGATACGCCATTCGAATTAACATTAAATCATTGACTTAAATAAATATTGGATCCTAAATACTCATTCAACTCAACAATATGAACGCTAAATTCTGAATTTATGCAAATAGCAATAATCAATAAGGATTCAATAAACATTCGAAAATCTTACACAATGCAAAATAAAAAATTTAACCAACCTTGAACTAAAAAAAGGTCTACTCAATATTTATGAAAAAATGAAGAAACCAATGGAAAAAGGCAGAAAGAGCATAAGATAAGTCTATCAGGGTGTGTTTGTTTGGGGCTTTGGATTTTGAGTTGGGATTTGAATAATAAAAATTTTGAATTTGAATAGTTGTATGATATGATATAAATAGGTGTTGATGTGATGTTTTTAATGTAAAATTGATTTTTAGTATAATATAAAAAATGAAAAATAGATGTTTGATTTGATGTTTTTGGAGAGGGGAAATGAGATAAATAGTGTATTTAAAATTCAATTGCCCAAACAAAAGTTTCATTTGTTTGCTGTGGAATGGCTCGTGCGGCCGTCGAACAGTTTTTGAACCACACTGCACACTTCTGCACTGTTTTGCACGCCTAAATCACGCCACCTCAAATTTTATGTTAAGACATTTTTCTAAATCTTGACTCTTAGAGCTAAAGTTTCCTTAAATATTTTTTTTCAACTATTCTTATTTTTCATCAATATTGTCAATTAAGTCGTAACCCTACAAAATATTCAAATATGCCAAATTCAAAAGAATCCATATCAAATCAATTAAAATACTTTCAGAATATAAATAATTAAAGTGTGAGCTACATATATTTGTCCCACATAATTTTTTTCTTTTTCTTTTTCTTTTTAATAATTATACACTTTAAGTATATTTTAATATTATAACCTATATAAATATTTTTTAATTAAATTAATTAG